GATAAAGGTAGATTGATTGCTTATAAATTACTTCCCTAAATTACGAACTCTCGAATATAATGAGAGAGGAATTTTCGTGTGCAAGCAGGTGTTACGTCTTTTTTGGGTTTGCGGAGTGAAAACGACAAACTACACGTTAATTCATTTCCCGTATATGTTTTGGCCCAGCTACGCCTGTTTACCAAAAGTTTCTGTGCTCTTTTCTAGTTTTGTTTCCATTTCTATTTTTATACGTTCATTTTCAATTCTCATTCCATATCAAATTTCTATATGTATAATTTTAAATTAAAAATATATCTTAATGTTTTTAAACTTTTAAGATATTAAATATGTAACTGGAAAATTAGAATTAAAAAGTTATTAAAAAAAATGGACTTAAAAATAAGTAAGACAAACCAATTAAAATTAACTCGATTCCTTAATAAAAATAGATATTGCAGTTTACTGGTCCATTTTAGCAAATTAAAAGAATTTTATAACTCTTTCTTATATTATTCTTAGTATTAAATAACTATGTAAAATTAGTAGTAAGATTTAGAGTTTCGAAATATCATTGATAAGATTAGCTTAGTAAATAATATATACCTCAAATTATAAATTTCTTAAGAATTGTATCAAGTCAACATGGGTCAAGTAATATGAAACGAAAAGAGTACGTTTTCCATTAATTTTTACTTTATCATGTATCAAAAATAGATTTTTTTAATTTTTATTTATCCAATATTAATAATAGATTTTACACTTATACTTGTCCACTTTAATAAATCAATAAAAAAGATATTTTTTTCTATTTTATTCTTAATAATAATTACTCATTCTAAATCATCTGTCAAACTTATGCATCGACTAATAGAGACCATAGTAAAAAAATATATACTTTATTTATTATTTTTAAAAAGGTGTGCTAACTAAGTTTATGAAGAAATAAAAATGAATGGAGAAGTATTTTTAATTGACACACCTAGTTTTAAGGTAAAACTCAAAATCTACATATTTAGTAGTTATTGGATTAAAAATACTTCTTCTTTTTGCTTAAAAATAAATATCGAGATTTGATTTAGCAAGTTCAAATGATCTTTTTTTTATGTATCAACTTACAATTTTTAAAAATTATTTGACTTTCTCAAAAGTGATAATGATATCTACGAACGGAACGAGTCTAAAGTCTAAATTGTGATTTTAATGATACTGTATTTATTTTTATTTAATCATTTGAACTATTCAAATGTTGATTATTAGTTAGTAAAATGTACCTGATCTTACTTTCTCTTGCCTCATTTTATCCAAAATGTAAATTTTACTCCTCGTTCATTTTTATTTATCTATGTTTAACTTGGCACATTTCTTAACAAATAATAAATAGAGGGATAATTTTACTATATCACTCACATAGCCCTATTAATTAACAAACAAAATGCACCCACTGTCCCATTGTAATTTGTTTATTCCGAGTTGTAACAGAATATGTTTTGTATAACTCAAACTGCTTTCAATTGTTTATTTGCATTTATTTATGGTTGGCACGATCTCTGAGTGGCCTGGACCAGACATTTCCGTTCATCAATTTCAGAGTCAACAAGATGTTAGTTTCTGCTCAAAACTCAAAACAACCCAATTTGGTAACGCCAATGGAAGCGTTCAACAACCAAAATCATGACAACCACAAATGGCTCACTTTCATTCTATTTGACCCTTATATGTAAATATTTTTTTTTACTTTGTAAATCAAGACAAAATTATTATTTTTCTTCCATTAATATTATCATAAATAACTACATAAACTATTAGTAGTCAAATTCAATTTTTCAAAATATAATTAATAAGGTTAATTTAGTAAAATAAACCTTTTAATAAATATTTTCTTAAGAGGAGTGTTAAATCAACATGAGTCAAGTAAAATGAAACAAAGGGAGTCAGGGGCGAACCTAGGGGGCTGCTCTACGGGTTCACGTGAATTCATGTTCACCTTTTAAGATCATATATTAGTAGTTTTATCCTTTTAAAAAATATATATATTTACATATAGATGTGTAAACCCACACTCAAAATATCATATAATGTGAGCTAAAAGTTTAATAGGTTCATTGATAAGAACTTAAAAATCAAAGCGATCAAATTTATATCCAAAATTCACCTTTTATAATAATGCATTCATACTCTTGAAATCCTGAATACACCTGCGCATTATATATAAAAATAGTTTGGATTAGGTGCTTGAGAAAGTTTTAAGATGGGATGGTGTTTGCTAATTAAGTAATGATTAAGATATTAGCTAGGTTGCACCTAATTATGCAGCCCCACATAAACAACTTAAATCCACATCTGCAATGATGATGCATGTATATTAGGATTGGCTAAGTAGTAGTCGTAATCTGAGATTCAACTTTGTCAAAAACACATTAAGATATTAATCAACTTGTCTTGTACAATGCAGGGGTTGAGCTGTTCTTTTGTGGGAAATCATTGTTTTAGTCTGACAATATTATAGTACAACTGAACATGTTAGATTTCCCTTTAAAATATTTACATTTGGTATAATGAATATAATTTGTTGAATTTCTCTCATGTATCCATTCACAATTGCTGGAAAAAAGGAGAGGAACAAATGTAACCAACTACAACTTAATTTATATATATATTGATACCTATAGAAAATATCAGGTACTCCTTCCGTTATTTTTTTGGTCATCTTGCGTTTTTTGAAAGTCAACTTGACTAATTTTCAAAGTTAAATTAGTTTACATTAATTCAATAATTTAAACTAAAAAATTTAGATAATCAAAACTATATGAAAAGTACTATAAATTGTAAACTTTTGCATATCAATATGATGAAAAATATTAGTCAAAAATTGACTATAAAAGAGGAAATTATGACAACTAAAAAGGAACAAAAGGAGTAGTATTTATTTCTTAATAAAAAAGTTGAGGAAGATTGAGAAAAGCTTATGTTGGAATTAGTGGTGTGGTATTATTGAGTCATTGATTCCTACAAAAGTCAACAAGTATGGAGAAGGTGATTGTTCATGGGAAGAACGATTTATTGTGATGAATTAATTACCTACTAACAGTTTGTTATGTTTACCATCACTGAAGGTATTAATGGGGTCGAATTTTATAGAAAATTTTGTATAAACTATGGAGTGTATACATATAAATAGAAAAATCATAATAAGTACTAATTAATTAATTGACTTTGATGGCCATAAGTACTCTATTGATGATGTGTATGACAAACAATTAATCTATGGGTCACGCGAAACTTAGTTTGATAGGGAGATTGTTGAGTATGTATGGTAGCAAACTTTGATGATAAATAAGTTGAAACAAACTCAAACAACTAAAAACTTTGAATCTGAATCTCCTTCAAACATGTTATTTAATTCTAACAGAATTAGCCTCATTAACCCATAGGCCAAGACAAAGTCGGCCTATTGAAATATTTGGTGTAATATTTTTATTGGTTAATTATTCATATTTAAACCAAGGAGCCTCTGTCTCTGTCTCTGGATTCTGCGTGTCTTTTGAGATTCACTCAAACACAAAGTTAAAATAAAAAATTATGGGTTGTAGGTGAAAAAATGTGGCGACTGACTGACTCATTTTGTTTTAACTTATTCATCCAAAAATATACTTATTTGAATTAGCTAGTACGTAGTAACGGACAGTTTTATAATAAATGCCCCAAAGACAACATGCAGAAACAGAAACAACAAACATCACGTGAATATATATATATGATTTTACTTAAACACCATGTTGATTGTTGTGCACTTCAAACTTCAAACAATCCATTAATTATTTTTTGTGTCTCTCAATTGTTTTGATTAATAGTAACTTATTTGGTCCAACATCTAAAATTTACTTATTATGAAAATCAATGTTATAAAGGAATAGTGATTAAAACAATGATTTGTGTTTTGCCAATGCAACTGTCTTCAGCTTCTTAAAAACTAACTTATGCTACAATTCAAAAATACTTACAATTTTTCCTAAAATTAAAACAAATAGCTTGATGATCTTAAAAAAAATCCATATCCATGACATGATCTTTCATTAGAAGAAAGTCTAGAAAAAGGTGCAATGCAATGTGATAAGCGAACTGCATGTATAAGTTTTTTGGATCCTCCAACAACAAGATGAGCTCTACAGTGGGCCAGGCCACGTTAATCTAAAAAGTTTAAAGTCCATTCCACTTGAGCCCATATATATATATATTCAACTCTCATTGTAGATTTGTAGTATTCCAATTTAGGCAATAATCCACTACAACAACCAATGGACAATTAAAAACAAAAAAAAAAGAAAATAAGGAGTTGCTAGAATGTCAAACTGAAATGACTTTTAAATCAAAAAATAAAAAGTAGGGGGAGATCTATTTTTGGTTTCTGCCTTATTTTAAGTCATTTTTTACCTTGTCAAACACTTCATACTCATTTTAAGTTATTTTTTATATTTGTCAAACACTGACTTAAAAGTAGGTTTGACCAACTTTTAAGTCAATCCAAACGGGCTATGTATGTTCAAGCTAGCTATCAAGGGCACTATAAATGTCGATAAACACGCTAACAAATAAAAGAGATAACCTTCACAAACAAAATGGATCTGCACAACTTTTTTTATTTTATTTTGGAGGTTTCTATTGCTTTGAGAATTGGCTATGAGAAAGAAGAGCACGGAAAAGTATTGAGTTATATGATCTGGTTCTTCTCTGAAAATTATAATCAGAGTTCCACCTCTTCTTTTCTATTCTTATTTGATGTATATATCTTTCATTTTTTCCATAGAATTATATATTATGAGTATATAATTATTTAATAATCTAATCTAAAAGCTTATAGACTTAATTATATTGTTAATAAAATAGATATTCCGGCTATTTTTTTCAAAAAGGTTTCATTTTAATTTGGCTTATGGTTTAGTTTTCGAAAATAACTTAATTGTTGGGAAAGTTCTCAAGCATATATTATTACTATACTATAAAAAAGAAAAGGTGGGAGACGTGTCGTCAAGGGTTTGGATTGCGTGAGAAAAACTAGTGAGCGAAATCCTCCTGGATATATATAAAGATTCAACAATTGTTTGTATTTTGATAGATAAATTACTACTGCATGTTAAATGTTGAAGCTCCGAATTGGAGTTGGATGGACCCGACTATCTACGCTCTGAATCCATTCAAGAACCACCATGGCCTTACTGTAAACCCGGTATCTTCTTAATTCCTTTTTTCTTTACTTCTTATCATCATCTTCCAACTTGCTTAATTTCTATTCCAGGCGCGATTTGCCCCCACCCTAACTGAGGCTGCAGGTGCCATTATTGACGTCAGTTTCTCTTCATTCCCTACGTTCATTTTTACACCCACCCATGACTGCAAATTTACGAATTCTTCTGCATACAATTGCCCTTATTGTTTGAGAAACTTTACATATACCCATTTCTCATAACGTGTCAATTATGTAACCAATGTGACTGATAAATTGCCAATTCTTATATTACCCTTTGGATTTTGTCATTCTGGAGCTTGCTCTTTCAGTTTCACGTATATCCCTTCTCATTTTTTCTTGCAGACCCGATGCTCCAAGTCGAATCCGCCAGAACCTTGGAACTGGAACATTTACTTGTTTCCTTTATGGTGCTTGCGGGTTGTTGTTAGATATGAGATTCTTTTCCCCATAAGGTTTACCCTCTTTTGTTTCTTTTATTTTTCTCATTTGTTAGTTACCCAGCTTGGCTATGATAATTGCAAAAGGTGCAACTCTTTATTCCATATTGCAATAGTTGTTCACTACCCCCATTGAAAGCTCACTTTTGTCATCCTTTCTTTCTAATGCAATTGCAGAGTTCTTGTCTTGACAATAGGATGGATAACATTTCTCTCTTGCTATATCCCGGTGCATTTCCTCCTTAAAGGGCACCATAAGTTCAGGAAAAAACTAGAGGTATCTCTCTTGCTATCCAGTTTACTTAATTTTTTTTTTCTTGCAATTGCTTTAGTTAAGGACTGCACTTTGGTTGGCATTTGCTCTCAATACATATGATAATGTTTTCCTTTATCCTTGGCTTTACCGTGGAGAAAATTATATTCATCTTATAAGGAACTCGTGATACGAGACAAACATCACTCGCTTAACAAAAAGGAACTCCTTAGATTAAAAAAAAAATTCCTTCGTAATTAACTGGTTAGAGTGCATAGAAAATGAACTGCCTACTCGAAGAAATATGGTTATAACTAACTAGCTGCAATGTTGTTCAGCACTCTATCTGGTGAAATGCTGAACAATTGGGTTCAAACAAGAGCAGGCACACTACTTTTTGAGGAAATCAATCTAGTTCATAAGACTTCTGCAAATTATAGCAGATGTTGATACTGAAATTGGTTTTGGAGAGAGCTTCACATTTATATACTGGTTTGTACTACTTGTTAAAGCTTCTTTATTTACACTACACTGTTGGTGAAGATAATGGAAAGACTAGTTCTTTTAACTTGGCATATGGATAGAAATTACTGAAACTTGTGCTATAAAGTTTCCCAAGAAATAGGAATATGTTCCAAAACAAACAATTGAAGCAAGCATGAGATTTCAGTGTATGAACAGAAATTACTACAGCTGCAGACATTAGGAAACACAATTAGCAATGGAACGCTTCATTATGTTGATTAGCTTTGGAAGTTGCTTATTGTGTCTGGACCAGGTTCTGCCACATTTGTGTATATGTTCAAGTATGATCTTGGATAAAAAATGAGGTAAAGCACATTGAAACATTACATAAGGAATCTGCTATATCTGTCTCAATCATTAGCTTTTGCAAACAAAACTAGTCATAAAAGATATTCAGATACAGTATGGACTATGCCCATAGTTCTTTTTTCTTTAGCTTAAGCTTCTGTCTGATTTTCTTTCTTTGTTTGGTCCACCAAACTGACCTTTTTTCCTTTTCCTTAGTATCCGGTTAACACTTAAAACAAAAATCATCTAACAGAATGCGACAGAGAAACTATCCCTATTTAGAAACTAATTCTCGGTATTTAGTGGCACCATGTATTATGGGATACTATCCCTAAAATTTTAGCAATCATGATGGAAACAAACCGAACCTACCAGTACTCTTATATATAATCAAAAGACGTAGTATTCAAATCAAAACAAGAATATTCTAATAAGAAATACAATGTTCAAATGAGTGCTCAACAGATATTCAAATCAACTTGAGAGTCAGCCACTGGCACCCGACAGTGTCTTGACCCCCATCCAATTTGGGGCCCACCTGAGTAAGATAAATTGGCACGATTGTTTGGAAATTCTCTATTATGATTTAAGAGGTCTAGACTTGCTTATGTTGCACTTTTGTTGTTCTCTTGAAGAGTATCTATACATACTAAGGTTTCTGGCATCCTTGCTTTGATTAAATTTCTTAGAGGATTCTGTTTGAGCTGATATGCAGTTTCTTTGTTGCATCTTGGACTGGGGTTGTCAAATACCACGGCCCACGACCAAGCATACGACCTAAGCAGGTACATCTTCTGCCATAATTGAGATCTTACATGTGAACTGCTTCTTCTCTAAACATCTAAAGTTGCCTTGTGCATTTTATCGACAGGTTTTTGTGGCAAATCACACGCCAATGATTGATTTCGTTATCTTAGAGCAGATGACTGCATTTGCAGTGATCATGCAAAAGCATCCTGGATGGGTTGGTAAGAGGTCTAAAGCATTTGGCATTGTTTGCTCGTCCACTTTGTCTCTGTCAAAAGTTGCCAAGCTTTGATATGAAGATGTGTATATTAACCACTAAGAAAACGGGCCAAATTGCCCCTCAATTATCATAAATGGAGCAATTTTACCCTCCGTTTGCAAATAATCCCAAATATATCCCTGCTGTTAATAACATTGGCCATATATACCCTTAAAAACTAACAGACCTCCATGTCATTCTTCGGCACATTTTAAATTTATTTAACTGATGTTATGGACGGCCATTTATGAATAAAACCCATCCCACCAAACTCACTGATTTTGGTAGCTAAAGATAGTTCTGGTTATGATAAAGTGGTTATTTCTGTAAACTTAGAATATTGTATGCATCCAGTCTTATTAAATCACCATGCCAATTATAAAAACAAGTTACCCTGCTGATACAGTCTAGGCCAAAGGTTGTCTAATCACTTCTGATTTCTAGCATTCCATTTGCTTATGTTCAAACCTTAAGGAGTATAGGGAGCTATACCCATCTCTGTTGAAGTGGGTCAACAGGGGTGACACAAGTATGACTTCTTGTACTGTCCTTCACCTTGTCATTAATGGTGGGGTGTCATTCGATTGTTTCAAAGTATTTAAATTATGTGGCTCAACTTCATTTGCATTATCAGTTGCCACCTTGAAGGGTGTCAAGTGCACTTGAGAAGAGAAATGACACACATACTTAAGAACTTTGGGCTGCAAGCTTGTTTTTGTATAACTGCAAGGATAAATTTATGAAGTGGTCTTGTATGCCTCCTTTTCCGCATATTAATTTCTCACTAAAAATAATATATTTGCAGGATTACTGCAAAGCACCATTTTAGAAGGTGTTGGATGTATCTGAACCGCTCAGAAGCCAAGGATCGTGAAATTGTAGCACGGAAGTTCGTAATGTCAGAAGAATCATTATAGACATCTCACTCTGCAGTGTTTTTCTTACATAATTTAATTTTCAGGTTGAGGCAACATGTTGAAGGGGCCGACAACAACCCTCTTCTTATATTTTTTTTTTTTTTTTGATGACAAGGGAAACCCGTAGCCGCTACCCTTTGGGTGCACACAGGGTAAAACCCCTGCTCCTATGCAATAGCTCGCAAACCACATAGGAGAGGTAACCCGCACTAGGCAAACCTGGTGCGACGAGCTTGACCCAGAAGGCAAACCCCTTGCTTTCGCTGGCAAGGGGTTTCGAACTTGAGACCTCCAACGTGGAAGTCCCAAGCTCAAATCACTGGGCCACCCCGAAGGGTGACCCTCTTCATATATTCCCTGAGGGAACTTGTGTAAATAACCACTACACTGTCATGTTCAAAAAGGTAGGGCCAATGAATTCATTCATTTATACAGTTTTCAATTGTTGAGCTTAGCTTGACCCAAATTTTAGGTCTTTCGAATATTCGCCTCTCAACTATGAGGAATTCTTTATTGTGAGTCGTTGGTTAAAGAGGAAACTGAAAAGTACATTTTATGGTATTTCTGATCTTCAATATATTTGAGTATCTTTAGGGTGTGGTCGGTATGAAGAAAATGTTTTCTTGGAAAATATTTTCTAGGAAAATAAGTGAGGATCTTACTTATTTTCTAGTGTTACATAGCAAAAAATCGTATCCTAAAGTATTTGTATATAATCTAGACAAATACTATGGAAGGTGGGGATAGGGGTGGTGAGGATTGAGGCTACGGGGGTGGGGGTGAAGATGAGGTGTGTTGGAGGGTGGGGAGGACACAATCAAAGTAGAATGCCACTAGTGAAACTTGTTTTTCCTATTTCTACTAGAGAAGTCATTTTCCTCATTTTTAAGAAACTTGTTTTTCTAAAGTAAATGTTTTCCAAAATTTTTGACCAGTGAACATAGAAAAAGTGGAAAAAAAATTCCTCCATACTGAACACACGCAAAAAGGGTGCTACTACAAGTCGGTTTTTTATGTGGATTTCCAAGTGTTTAAGTAATGGTTTTGATGCCTCTATCCTTTTTCATGCATGATGAATAGGGAGCATTTGAACTCGGCTGCACTGTTTGTCCTGTTGCAATCAAGTACAACAAAAAATTTGTTGACGCCTTTTGGAATAGTAGAAAGTAAGGATTTCTTAATGTCAAATTGCTTATTTGGTTTATTTGTTGGTATTCATCTCGTTATAGTCTTTCTTCTTTCCAGTTTGAAGTTTGTCTTTCTTCTATTAATTGCAGACAATCCTTCACAATGCACATTTTGCAGCTCATGACATCTTGGGCTGTAGTCTGTGATGTTTGGTACCTGGAGCCTCAGAACATAAGACCTGGGGAGACTCCAATCGAGTTTGCAGAGAGGTTAAATTTCCGTTGTGAAAGCAGTAACTACTGGTTCTAACAGGGCATTTATCTTATCAGATGTGAGATATTAATTTTTGGACAATACTCGTATTGAAGGTAATCGTTGCCAATTTTCTCTTTTCAGGGTGAGGGACATCATTTCTGTTAGAGCAGGTCTTAAAATGGTTCCTTGGGATGGATATTTGAAATACTCTCATCCTAGCCCCAAGCATCGAGAGAGGAAGTATGTTTCCTATATCCCCCCTCCCCACATGCTCACACACAAAAAAGTATTAGACTTAATACTTTGTGCCGTTTACAATTACTTTGATTTTTTGTAGTAACAGAGCTGATCCTTTACCTGCCTTTTATTGATTTCTTGATTGTTTTGTATTTTTTAATTTAAAATATGTTGCATGTGTGTTCTTTTTCTTTCAAGCTAAAATCTAATTTAATGTCTCTCTCTGTCTCATACGATGTCCCTTGAACTTTTATGTTGATGGTGTTACTGACTACTATTGTTTTTGTAGAATGAAGTTGTGTAGTTCTCCTGCCACTATGACATTGTTGTCTTTGTTTGAATTTTCAATAGTAATACTAAAATTGCATCTATGTTTGAAGTGAACAGTTTGTATGTCCAGGCAGCAGAATTTTGCAGAATCAGTGTTGCGTCGACTGGAGGAGTAGTAGATAATTGGATGTATGTTTTTTGTCTCCATTTTCACTTTTGGCTTGAGAGCCGTTCAATTTGGAATAGTTGTCATATTATTCTTCCTTGTCAGCTTGACGTTTTGTGTTTCATCACTTTCTCTAACCATAGTTAAAGAGTAGAAAGTTGACAGCAATTGTGTGTGAAGCTCATTGCTTAGTCTTTATGGTTTTGGATGTCCACGCAATCCTAAACTTTGTGACTGTCATTTTGTGGTTACTCTTCCATGATGAAGAAGATACTCTGTGTGTGTGTGAAAAAGAGAGATGACTGCTCTCTCCAATGGTGGACAGATGGGTTCAAATTCCATCTTTGGGTAATTTTTTTTTTATGACAAGGAAACCCGCAGTCGCTATCCTTTGGGTGCGCATAGGGTAAAATCCCCGCTCCTATGCAATAACTTGCAAACCACATAGGAGAGGTAAGCCAGTGCGACGAGCTCGATCCAGAAGCAAACCCCTTGCTTTTGCTGGCAAGGAATTTCAAAATTGAGACCTCCAATATGAAAGTTTCAAGCCCAGACCACTCGGGCAGAATGCTGAATAAACTAAATAATGTTGGCTGTTGTTTTCTTGTGCACGTGGTTTTCCCAGTCATTGTCGTTTGTGAAATTAATTGTTGGCTAGGGAATCCCAGAAGAAATTAAGACAAAGAGTTACCAACTCAAGTGTTTGTTTGTTTTTCCAAAGTTTAATGATTCTTTTTGGTGGGAATATTTATTTGCCCAAAGTTTGAAACCCAAGGCCTGGAGTAACAATCGCTGCAGCCTTTACGTTAGAAAGGAATTTCTTACAAATTCCAAAGACCTAAAAGAATCATTTTAATTCCCATGATATGAATTACAAGACAACAACAACCTGAACAGAGGTTGTCAGCTGGTCAATTTTTTCACACATGTTTGGCCTCTAATTATTATGATATAATAATTCCAACCCTTTTTCTCTATTTACATGTTTGATGTTGATCTTGTTTTAATGTGTGTTTTTCCTTTTTCTCCTCCAAAAGTTGTTGCATATGAAGTTAAAGATAAATATTTGATACCATATAGTACACTTTTTGACTGAGGGAAAATTTTGAACTTTGGGGACCCTATCTATACTATACTAGGACTATTCATCTTTTAGAATTTCATTTTCACCGTGAAGTTGGGATCCGTGTCACTATTGAAGATGTATTTATTATTATTATTATCTTCTTTTTGAGTCACTTACGTTACTTTTATAATATATATGTTCAACGGTTTTGGGCTGTTTGAATTTTGATAATTAATTCCCTCTTCCATTTTAGTTGACTTAGTCTACGGGTGCTGCTTATACTAGAGACTAATTGAGATGGAAAATAAATAAATTTCAAATCAAGTATAGAAAATTAAATGATGAACCATTAATTTTGAATATGCAAAGTAAAATGAAATGTACAACAAAAGCGTATTTAATGTTGTGAGACTATTCAACTTTCACTTGAGAGAATAACTTTAAATAATGTAAAGATTAAGATGTGGAATATTTTGAAGATTTTAGTATTAACAAACTGACTCTGGATTTTCCATATCAGAACTATCCAACAAGGTTTTAATTGAATATTACTTATATATCTTCTAAACTGACCCGTAACAAAGAATGCGAATTTCTACAATTTAAATACATCAACATCCCTGTTGACCCAAAAATAGGAAAAAAAAATATCGTAGAAACAACCTCATACAATCTTAAATGTATTTTTATCTTGATTTATGTGTTATTGTTTAAATTTTAATTTTGATCATATATTTTACAAATGATTTAAAAATAATTATAATTAAAAAAAGCTTATTTAACAAATTGAGACGAGGGAGGGAGTATTTTGACTAAAGTGAAGAGTTCCATTTTCGTGAACTGTTTTCCTTTTTCCGTTTTCTCATATTCAGACCATCCCACTAATTAATTCGCCCGGCCCACCCTCACTACTTATAATACACCTCTCTCCACTACGCAAATGTGTAACGCCATTATTTTGTAACTTCTCCATTTTTTCCACAGAGAGAGAGAAAAATGGTTTCTTTTTCGAGTCTGACTATTATCTTATGCCTTGTTTGGCTTTCATCTCCGGCTGAAGCTTCCTTCAGTTGCACCTCCGCCGGAACTTGTGACGCCATTATTGACTATACCTTACCCAACGCCACTACCTTTAATGCCGTCAAGAAACTCTTCAACGTAAAGAACCTCCGTTCCCTTCTAGGCGTCAACAATTTCCCTGTCAATACCCCTGCTGATCAGAAATTACCCGCCAATCAAACCATCAAAATCCCCTTTCCTTGTCTCTGTAGAAACGGTACCGGAATAGCCAACAAACGCCCCATTTACACCGTCGTCGCCGGCGACTTCCTATCCCACATAGTTACCGACATCTTCGCCGGTTTATTCACTGTTCAGGAACTTCAGACGGTTAACAATATTTCTAACCCGAATTTGATACAACCCGGGGATAAATTATGGATCCCACTTCCTTGCAGCTGCGACGACATTGATGGTGAAAAGGTTGTTCATTATGGTCGATTGGTGAGCAGTGGCAACAGCATTGAGGGTATTGCTCAGCAGTACAATGTCTCTCAGGAAACCCTTTTGAGGTTGAATGGTTTAGCAAGTCCTAAACAACTTTTAGCTGGCGCTGTTCTTGACGTTCCCCTTAAAGGTACTTACTCACTCACTCCTATATATATTTGCCTTTTCATTTTCTCAAAAGTGCACTATCCTAAATTTATGAATAGACAATCAATTGGGTATTGCCTAACTGCCAGGACTCAAAACTCTGAATTGACATAGGCAGTGCAGTGGCCACACGCACACCTTAGTCATCCCCCAGGCAGTAGATGCTCATTGACTCTAAAGTTCAAGAGGTCTGTGGATTAAATGTTTTCATCTGTTTAACCCCCTTTAAAACATAAAAATTATGTGTAGCCCTATTGGACGTGTGGCTATTAGGTCAATGAAGTGGGACTGATCAAGACAAAATAATGAGCTGATTTTTTTTCCATCTACCCTCAGCCGTAGTGGGGAAAGTCCCGGTATCCGTTATGTTGGGAGGTAGCCAGGTATTATGTGCGTACGCTGGGGAAGAAAAAAGATGCGTTGCCTTATTGTCTTGTTTAGAAGTTTCTTTTACCGCTTCCCATAACTTCGTACTTGCTGAATTGATTCTTGTATCCGTAGTCGTTCCTACAACTGTTAAAAGCTTCTGGTAGAAGAAGGTTTTTTAACATCTTATCATGTTTAATTCAATGAACTATGGCTTGATGAGATCAAATTTACAAAAAATCTAGATTACCCTCTAATTGTGGTATTTGAGTGGCCGAGCTCAATGGCCTTAGGGCATGCTAAACATTGGTTACCCTAAGAATGCATGGATTGGAATTTGGAACACACTTCCCTTATGGAATGGAACACCTTGTAGTTCTTCTCTTTTCAGATTTTCAAAAAAAATAAAAATGATAAGAGAAGATTGATGATCAAGATCGCTAAATCTAGTTGTGCAAATCATCATTAACCATATTTTTGGAATTTTCATACCTTCTGGGCTTATGCCATGATTACTAAGATTCAGAAGTGTTTGATTTGCAGCTTGCCAATCAACGGTGAGCAATGCCTCACTGGACTATCCTTTGCTAGTGCCAAATGACACATATGTCTTCACTGCTGCCAATTGTGTAACGTGCAAGTGTGATGCTGCGAGCAACTGGACGTAAGTAGCTGAACCGATGATGTTTGTGTTACAACTCGACTCTTGTTGTTGCATCACATCATAAAATCCCTTTTCTACTGCAGGTTGCAATGCCAACCATCCCAGATAAAGTCATCTCTTTGGAAGACATGCCCGTCAATGCAGTGCCAAGGTTTAGATAACTTGTACATTGGGAATGTGACCACGTCTTCAGAGTGTAATTCCACATCTTGCGCTTATGCTGGTTACAGCAACCAGACCATTTTTACCACAAGCACTCAGTTAACTTGCCCTGGTAATTAGTTTATTCAGTTACACACTTAAAATTGGTTGATAAGACTAATTATGCACTAAACTAAGACATGTTTTGTTGTTGGTACAGCCTCTGACAATAGCGCTTTCGGAATGAGGCCAGGGACATGGAGATGGAGATGGAATGTCATCCTGGTTGCTGCTATCTCTATGTGTTTCATAAGTACTCCATGGTTATAGGAAATCTTTTAAAGGGTGTAGGCATTTTAGCTTTATTTCAGTTCATCCACGAACATGATCTCTTCTTTTCCCACTTTAGACACGCTACTTGTTTCCAGATTCTAAACTGTTCAATTTGATAAGTATTTCTTTTGCTGAATGCAATGTCGGGTTGATTGTCCAAATTAATGATTCTACTGCAAACAAGAGTCTTTTAGTATAGATTTTCACATTCTTACTACACCTTTTGCACGGTGGATTCTTGTCTTTCGAAAAGGTATTAAATTTGTTCAATACTCAGTCAATGAAAAAACAATAAATTAATTTCTCTCGAGAAAATAGCCAAAAGCCCCCTAATCTATTACCCAATTCTCAATTACACACTTATACTTTATGGGGGTCCTATTACCTCCTGAACATTTTAAAAGTATAATAAATACCCCTTAAAAACTCACACCCAAATTTGTATAAAAAATTAAGTTGCACGCGCTTGCCACGTAATTTACCTTTTAAAAAATATTATTTTTTCCTTTATTTTACTTTTCCTTTTATATTACCCTTCTTCTCTTTCTCCTCTCTTTCCTTTCTTGCCCTTTTTTTCTTTACTTTGATGAAATGATTTTTCAAACAAGCAAAGCAAGCTCAAACTTAGAAACCCTTGAGTGAATTTTTCTTCATAAACCTTCTGTACATCAACTGAAAAGTCATCATGATTTTTGTTCAATAAAATAAAAGAATTTATAAAGGTCGATTAATGGTAAAAAGATTTACTTGTTTGGTAGGATATGCAATGAATGGGTTTCATTGAAGCTTAGTGATGAACAATATTTGGAGACTTCAAATTTGTTTTTTCAATGTGGGTTTTGAATTTTGGTTGAAATTATTGAGAGCTTAGCAACTTTAAAGATGAACGCGGTGATTCATGGCGGAGGTAGATGGCGATTGACGGTGCGATAATTATGTACGATGGTTGGGTCAGGATAACATAACTAAGAGAACTTATAAATTTCACTCAAGGGTTCCTAAATTTCTCCATTAATGACACTAAAATTTGATCCACTTGACTTTCGATTTTAATTTTGATTTTAAGCTATTGTCAAATTTTCAAATGGATCTACCGTGAAAAAATTGTAATTTAAGGATGAAAATCCGCTTAATGGTGGGAGGCTGATGAAGGACTTGGTGGTGGAGCTGAGTTTTCGCCGGTACTGCTCTGGTGAAGAGAAATAAAAAAGAAAAAAGGTAAAAGGAAAAAATAAATTGAAACTGAAAGGAAACTTAAATTTTATTAAAAAAAACAAAAAACCAATATAAACTAAAAAATAATCTAAAAATTAAAATTTTAATTATTATTTTTACTTCTCACTCTCTCAAAGAGGGTGAACTATACTTTTTTTGCCACCTCAGCATTCAAGGAGCAAATAACTCTACTTTAAAATAGTTTAAGGTGTAGTAAGACTCATAAGTGTGTAGTTGAAAATTAGGTAATAGATTAGAGGTCTTTTTTGCTATTTTCTCATTTCTCTCTAAACGAAATGCTACTGTTTTTATTTCACCAAAACATTTCCGTCCTATGTTATCTTTCATTTTGTTCCATACCATATATACTATCAATTAAACACTTTTTATATCCAACCAATTTTATATATACTAATAATAATATACACAAGTGAACAAAAATGACAATTCAGAAATTTCAGAAGCTAAAAAAATTACAAATTATTACTCTAATATCGACGACAAAAGTGAATGACTAATAGATAATATATTTGATTCGTGCCTATTGGGATAATGATTTGCAATAGATTAATGTCTAATGAATAGAATTTACATATAAGATAATTTTTTTGAATATTCAAAATTTGAAGTACCAAATTCAATATTAACTTGAGAAATCCAAAATTTGAATTTTGAACTTGGTCAAATTAGGCTAACCCTACAAATTGTTATTCTTTGAAAGATAAAAAAGACTTGTGATAAAAAATAGTACTCAAATGAGTATATTTTTTTGAAAAGACTTATGATTTAAAATAAACGGATTTTAGAAAGGAAACATGCTATTACAAAAATGATGTTCCGTTTAACAACAAAAAAAAGTAAAAGAAAGAAGGTTTGAGTAAGGACTCCACTAGAAGTAGTAATATTAAGGTTTGAAAAGGCGAAATGAGGAATGTTATGGCCAGAATTGATTTAATCGACTCTGTTTCTTCCTTCGTATAATTCTGGTTTGGCCCTTCCCTTCTCTACCGCCGGCAGCCTCTTCACTAGGTATCATACTCAATTTCCTTTGTTCAATAACTGAATTCCCCTTTTATTTCTATTCCATCTGCGCTTAACTCTTTCTTCAAATCACCGCCTACCTTTATTAACCATTGCTGCGAGAAAGCGCTTGCCAAATACGAGGGTTTCTTTCTCCCTCTATTCCTTTCATTACAGATTTTTAGGTTAACATATTTGCATTTTGTTGAAGATAACATCCTAATTTACATTTCGCCAAAGACAAACAAAAAGGTTGCCACCTTACATTTATCAAAACATACCATCCTAGTCTACAATTCATCCAACAACAAAAAAAAGTTGCCATCTTGCGTAGAGTTTTACACCGTATAGCTTCAACTATACAATCAGTCCTGTTCTAGGAAATCACTTTATCACTCCTTTGGATGGTTGTTACCCATTATATTGTATTGTATTGTATTGTTAGTTTTTATACAATGTTTGTTTTGATTGTTACTTTAATTTTTTTGTATCAATATTGTTAATCCATTGTTAGGTAACAACGAAAAGGCCTTTTTTGTGTAACGATCCATTTAGTATGGTCGCGTCGTTACCATAATATTTTCTTTTTATTTATTTTTACTTATTATTGAATAATTTCATTTCATCATTTACCCTACATTTCATAGTTGTTTTACCTCGTACCCTAGTTTTTTTGTAAGTTTATCATTTAAATTATGAATGTGTGACATTATGTAACGACATAGAACGATACAATCTGTCCAAATGTTCTATTCATTAAAATAATACAATACGATGCAATACAACACAATACAATAGTTACATTATGACTTAATATGTAACAACCATTCAAACAAAGTGTAAACAAAATAGTAGTACCATTTTTAGGATTAAACAGTTGGGAGCGTTTCTTGTTTTTCTGAATTTTTTTCCCTCTTCTTTATGTTTTTTACTCTCTTCAGTTGCTGTATTCCAATATATTCATTCTTAAGTTTTTGTATGCTATCAGGTCCTTCTACTTTGATTATGAAGTGAGGGACACCAGCTTATAAAAATGGCAGCTGCACAATTGACCAGTAAGGCGATGTATAATGGGTTTACTGAATTAGAAGTGAAAGAGGAGATTTCCAAAAGCTGCTCGTTAAGATTCTCAAATCGCCGTTGTAGTTCCTTTTCAAGAATCAATCAGAATAGCTTGAAACATGTTTATGGTAGCAACAATTGTTCTTTATCGATTGGAAAAAGCAAAAGATTTTCATATTCACCTGCTCTTTTCCCAAGGAAACGGAAATCTTTAAGGTTCCGTAATAAGTTCAGTTCAGAGAGTGGTGCGGAAGCTTCTGATTTGCAGGACACCACTGCTGTAAAGGGAATAGATGATCTCTCAAGCTCAAGTGGAGAAGTAGAGTAAGACCCTGATCTTACTTAAGTTTTCTGGATTGTAGCTTTTTCTGATGCTAGGCAGACATGATTAGGGGCCTACTAGCAGTCATTCCCCATCGTTATGTGCATACATTGTTTTCACTAAATCCCTTGTCAGGGTCACTTCTTCAATCTCTGTGTCTAACTTGGAGTGTTTTTCCTGTGACTATAAAGTGTTATCGAAGTAAGATCTTATTAGAATTGGCAGAACAAAAAAATAATCTCTCACTAGATATTTTCCGGTGGTCGCAGCCAACAAGTGTACTTTCCTACAGCTTATTAAGCTTTCCTGTTTCCATTGTATTTAGCGCGGAGCTTTTACTTCCATCCTGCATCAGAATATTTACGGTAACATTGTTGTAACAGGGTTATTACCTGTCCACGATCTTGGTACTTCTAGCTTTGGTATCTCAATTAAAGGCCCTCCTAGAATGGGCAAGGACAGTCAGTTGTTGGCTTAATTGTCTGGGCTTGGGAACTTTAGCATCTATGAAAAAATTGAAGTTATAAAGCCTTCACACTTGTTGTCTCTGCATTACACATTTTCAAAGTAATTATTGCAGAGGTTAGGTTCATTGATGAAACTTAGAGATCTTAACTGAGCCTAATATATATTCTACGCTACATACTGATGTTTACATGTTAATTCTTTTTATGGATATTCCGGCTGGCTACAATATATATTGCGTTTATATGGTTAAATCTTGACAAAGTGGCATTACTGATCTGTCTTTTTGATGGTTTTTATGTTGCTGGTCCACATCCCTCCTTTGCTGATCTAGTTTTCTTCTTTTCAAATCCTTTTGTTGGTTTCAGTGAGTTGAATGAGACTGTTCCCATTATAACAAATGTCGAAAGTGAATCAATAGAAGAGGCTCCTACAAGTTCATCTCAATCTGAGGATGTCAGGTGTGAGCTTGTGATGCTGTCTTTGCCAGCAATTGCTGGACAGGCCATTGACCCTTTGGCACAGTTAATGGAGACTGCTTATATTGGGCGCCTGGGTAAGGTGGAACTTTTGCACATTCAGCATTTTTATGTAACTCTTTAATTGAATTTTAGAATCTCCTGAGATCACAGATGAACTGGTACAAAAATTTCTATTCGGGGGGTGGTGCGAAAACTTATGTCAACGACTAGCATCAATTTGTCGTTAAGGAAGAGAATTTAGGATCTTATATTAACGGTGGTGCGAAAACTTGTGTCAATGACTAGCATCAATTTGTCGTTAAGGAAGAGAATTTAGGATCTTATATTAACGATGACCCTTAATTTGTCGATGGTGATAGTTCATCAAATGAGGACTAGTAGTTTCTGTAGCTAGTTGTTATGGTGTAGGCATAACGGTTATGCTTGTACCG